TTGAATGCTGCCTCCATTTCAGTTAATGCCTTAATTTGAAACTCAATTTTGCCTGATGACAGTTTTCCTTCTAGCCAGTTCTCAAGAATAGATTGCTTATATTTCCTCCCTTCTTTAAAACATCACACCTTTAAAACTGCATAGTCTTAATGCTGCTGTATAACACACTACCACAAACATGGAAACTTCAAACAACTCCCATTTATTAGCTCACAGGTAGGCAGCCAGGAGTCCAGGAGGGCCTGACGGCATTCTTTGCTTAGGGCTCGGCAAGCTGAAGTCAAGTTGTCGGCTGGACTGAGCCTTTACCCGGAGAGTCTGGGGAATAATCTGCTTTCAAGCTCACCTAAGCTGTAGGTAGAATTCAGATCCTTATAACTGGTTAGGACTGAGGTCCTCATTTCTTTGTTGGTTGTCAGATGGGGAAGATTCTCAGCTTCTAGAGGCTTCTCTCTGGTCCTTGTGTGAGCCCCCCCGCCCCCCCTGCATTTTCAAAGCCACCAATGGTCTGAATCCGTCTCACACTTTGAATCTCTCTGACTCCCTCTTCTGCTACTTTTTGGAGAAGCTTCTCTGCTTTTAAAGGGTGTATCTACCCGGGTGAAGCCTGCAGTAGAATATTTATTAAGCCCACTGACTCGGGACTTTACTTACATCTGGAAAATTCTTTCATGGCAGCACTTACATTAGTGATTGATTGAATACCCAGGGCACAGTAATCTTGGGGGTGGGGGCCATCTTTCGAGTTCTGCCCTTCACGACTACCAGGTTAGAAGCACTTGAGTCCCCTTCGGGGGGCCTTGGATTAATGTGGAAGCCTCCGCATGTTACAGCCGATATGAGTATTTTTGCTAGGACAACTTCAACTTTTGGAATTATTTGCTGTTTATTGTTTGGATTTCATCTGCTATGCTTCCTCGTTGTCTTCCTTGAGTTGAGGTGGGGGCATGGGGGTTTCTTCTACTTCTTTGCGAGGCTAAAACAGTCTTTATTTAAAAGTTTTTTTTTTTCAACGTTTTTTATTTATTTTTGGGACAGAGAGAGAGACAGAGCATGAACGGGAGAGGGGCAGAGAGAGAGGGAGACACAGAATCGGAAACAGGCTCCAGGCTCCGAGCCATCAGCCCAGAGCCTGACGCGGGGCTTGAACTCACGGACCGCGAGATCGTGACCTGGCTGAAGTCGGGCGCTTAACCGACTGCGCCACCCAGGCGCCCCTAAAACAGTCTTTAAAAAGTATATTTTGAGGGGCGCCTGTATGGGTCAGTCAGTTAAGTGTCTGACTTTTGATTTTGGCTCAGGTCATGATCTGCTGCTGCTTGTGAGTTCAAGCCCCACATCAGGCTCTGCGCTGATAGAGACTGGGATTCTTTCTCTTCCTCTCTCTGCCTCTCCCTTGCTCACACTCTCTTTCTCAAAATACATAAACTCTAGAGAAGCATGTTTTGAAATATATATAAAACCGAGTTACAATAGGAGAATATTTCAGAGTATATAATCCCCTATAATAATGGATTCAGTGTCCACAGATTCTTGTGTGTGTTTACCAGTGACACAGCATAGCTACTAAGCAATCAGAATGGACACCAACCATGAGGGACTTTATAACATGCTAACGGAGACACAAAAATGACTATAAAAGTAAGGTGTGACACACAAAACAATCTTGTGAGGAAGATGAGCTATGTATGTAATGTAATGTTAAGACATTTATAGGTGTCAAAAGAGAGATAAAAATAGAATGCTTTGTGTGGTCAGAGGGGAGAAATCTGATTTCCAGCTAAGGAATCTGGAACATTCGATGGGAATGCAGCTCAGGAGGTAAGCCTGTGGAGACCAACTATCCCAGGGCTTTCACACTTTCACCTAGAGAAAAGCCTTTTATCCGGATTCTCTTGGAGTGCCCTCTATACCCTGCATGTTAACGTGCACAGAAACGGTAGAAAATGCTTTCGTGTTAATGGAGGCATAACTGTTTTCTGAGCTAGATCTATTTTTGATTAAAGATAAACCATGACATCAAGAGACTCAGAGACTAACCAACAGATTATTGCTATTTTATCCTCTGTCCAAAATAAAATTATAAAATATTCAGATAGTATTGCATTTGTTTTCACAGCTCACAGGACCTCTTTGTTTCTGGCCTCTCACCTTTTAATGGGCATTCCTGAAACAGAGGAGTTGGTCCACAACTACACATCTGCTTTAAAGGGGAAGATGTACTGACCCTTTTAGTAGCATCTTCCAGAGTAAAAGTGATCCAGGCCGTGATTGCTTTGATAGACTGTTCTCAGACATGGCTACAATCATTCCTCTCTTTTTGCAATGTGACTTTGTAGCTCTTCCCATCAAGAGGCGGAGCCTATTTCCCTTCCCTTTGACTCTAGGCTGAGCTTGTAACTTGCTTTGACCAACAGAATGTGAAAGAGGTGACATCATGCCTGTTCTGAGCCCTGGTCTCCAGAGGCTGTGCCCACCTACAGGCTCTTTTGGGACTCTGCTGAGCCACCATGTGAACAAGCCCAGCAGCCCGTGGGGCCAAATCCAGAAGCAGAGCTGGATTTCAGGTGCTTGAGGAAACCCAGCTGAGATCAGCAGAAGTGTAGGTTCACAAATAATTTACGGCTGTTACTTTAAGATACTGAGTTTCGTGTTGCTTTGTCGTATTATCCTAGTTCCATTTCTCTCTGAGGCAGGTTGGAAGGGCCGGTCCCACTCTGATCTTTGGTAGCAACATAAACAGTGACCTGGGACAAGGATTTCTCATAGGGATTTTGCAAGCATGACATTTCATTTGTTTCGATAATGTGCAAATTATGTCTCTGTGGCAGGTACATACAGATTTTGTGTAATTTGCTTAAGAACTACAGGTAAAGGTCACAATATTTTATTTCCATTTTTTTCCCCCTCTAAGAGTGAAAAGTCTGAGTTTCAGGTGCTTCAGAAGAAGAATGGTGAGTTTAATTGAGAGTCTCCTGGACCTCCAACCTTTCAAAATGCTCCAGTGGTACTATTCCCATAACATTGGCCAAATTTGGGGTGGGGGGGCTTGTCTGAAACATTGGGATAACATATTCTGTCTTAATTCTCATAGTTGGTTTCTTTTTATAAGTAGCATTTACAGGGTACTTTATCCTTTACAGAGCAGTTAATTCTTTACAGAACATTTGAACCTTGTAACTTTAAGATGTGTATATCCTCACCACCACCACCACCCCTGGTCCATTTTATACTTGAGAAAACTAAGGCTCAAAGAGATTAAATAATTTGGTGTAATGTATGTTCCCATTATCATCTGACATCAAAACCCTTGCTTTTATCCATGGCTTAATATATGATTAGTGGTTTGGAATTTGATAGCATGTTACATGTAAGGTATTCAAAGTGTTAATCCCTTCTTTCTTGTATGATATCTATGTCTTTAATTTGAAAAATATTGAGGACGGAATAATTAACTATCAATAAGTCATTTAATTAAAAAAAAGTATACAAAGATCTACAGTCTTACTTGCAAGCTCAGGTTTCAAGTGTCTATAATCTACTACTAACCTCACTGCTGATGTTGTTGTATTCCTTTCCCCCAAACATTTTATTTGTGACTATTGAAATGGCCAGGAAAGTTGAAAGAGCTTTAAAGTAATACCCATACACTTGCTGCCCAGATTCTATAATTCATAATACTTGCTCTATCATATCCATCTCCCTATGCCTATCCATCCACAATCAATTCTTCTGTGTTCACTTTTAACAGGACAGTTTGGTAGCCCAGAGTAAAATGCTGTTAAGAATATTACTTTGTGAGCAAAGTTTGTCACTTCACCTTGGCACCAGGGTCTACAGACAAAACCACTGATGATCTGAAAGTCAACTTCAAAGGAAGGATGCCAATAAAAGCACCAACTGCAATTAGTTTCAGAGTGACTCACACGGTCTGAATGGAGGCATTGCTTGCCTGCTGATAGGAAGGTTTGGCAAGAATGCAACTCCTGCCTGCTGGCCCAGAGAATGTTCCTTTACTACAGCTCTAATTCTGAGTCATATTTTGAGCCTTCTTTCTTTATTTTTTTTCCTCCTGAGACTTCCCTCTCAACAGTGATATAAACAAAAATAAAAGACATGGAAAGGAATCATGGAATCATGGGATATAGAAGGACAGGAGACCACCTTGTGCCTCTGCCAAAGAGCCCAGATGTCCAAGATGAAGGGTAAAGCCCCTTGAGCATAGAAAACTGAAAAATATGTACAGTGATGGAAGGAAGAGACAAGGCAACTCCAAAAGAGTGATACAGCTAGATATTAGGAGTAAGAGAAGTCAATATGAGCTTTGGAGGACTGGAAAAGAGGCCCTGGAAATACTCTTCTATTGTTTTAAAACCACAATGTCCACGTAGGCCAATAGCTGATTTTCTGTCCCCCGGGAACATAGTACTTCATACCTTGTTCCACTCACTTGATACAAGTATTGAACCAAAGGAAAACATTCTTGTCAATGGATTGGGAATTCATGGTGTTGGGAACCCCACGAACTCCAATGTACACTGTTAGCTTTCGTAAATTGGGTGGGGGAAATTCTATGGCTGCTTGACTGGCTGCTGGGAGTTTCTCCAGTAAGTAAAACCCCAGTGACTCTTCCTCTCATTGCTAAAACCACAACCACTGTGTTTGGGGATTAGCAGATGTTTACGCTATGTTACCACTTACCCAGAGAGCAGTAAAAGGGGAGAAATTAGAGGCGCGGAAAGAGAGAATTTTGGAGGAATTTAGGCAATTGTCTTGCTGTATGAAGAGCAAGGAAAAATTCTGCTCCACCCAAGTCTCTTATTGGTGTAGCACATTATTTTTTAAAAGTAAACTCTACCCCCCATGTGGGGCTCAAAGTCACAAACCCGAAATCAAGAGCCAGGCGCACTGGTGTAGTTCATTATTCATGGATTTCGTTAAAAACGCAGCTTGAAAAATGCGGGGCAGCTCCAAGTGTTACAGATTAACAGAGAAAACAGTCATTGGATGCAGCAGATTTCATGGAGACTGTCTTACAAAGATTTTGTCTTACAAAGATTACTGAAGTAAGACTAAAGATGTATAAGCATTCCAATAACAAGACCATGACTACAGGGGCGATTGCTGCAATGCTGTCTACAATCCTCTGTTCAAGTCACTTCTTTCCATATTATGTTTACAACATCATCGGGGGACTGGATGAAGATGGGAAGGGAGCTGTGTACAGCTTTGACCCAGTAGGGTTCTACCAGAGGGACTCCTTCAAGGCTGGAGGCCTTGCTACAGCCCCCGCTTGACAACCAGGTTGGTTTAAAGAACATGCAGAATGTGGAGCATGACATGTACACTGGGGATGCACTCAGAATCTGCACTGCGACCAATGAGGGCACCAGGGAGGAGACTGTTCCCCTGAGGAAGGATTGACTTGTGTGCTGTTTTCATTCATAACTGGTTAATTTTGTATCTTGGAACTTTTGGACTGATTTGTTTTATTAAATAAAACTTGAAGTAATTATTCTAAGCAAAAAAAAAAAAAAAAAAGAAAAAAAAAGAAAAGAAAAGAAAAGAAAAAAGGATTGTAGATGTAGGAAAGGATTAAAACATTAAGCCCAGGATGAAAACACTCGTGTCATCCTAACTGGGTATGGAGATGATATAAGGCTATAACCATGGTAGGAGAGGTGAACAAGGGGCTTGCGGGGAACCCATGTTGTGGGAAGCACTGTAGAACCAGAGTAGCTGGAGGAGAATAGCAACTGAGCCATTGGGATGGAAAACTACTTGGAGAAGTTGGGCCATCGCAACTGCCATGATATTCCAGACAGATGTCTGGTCTTCCACGAGGCCCGAATCTAGATGCGCCCTTGGTGTTTGCAGCCTTCACAGCTCAAGTCACTGAAAATAGAGACCTGCCCTCATTCTGAGGTGTCCCAGCATTCCAAAAGCTATATGCGTGTGAGGGGAGAAGAATGAGCCACAAAATCTTCAATCACTCCTCCGTGTCCTTCCTGCTAGTGAATGTTAGGATCTTAGATATATTAGCGGCAATGTAATTTTTAGTTGATTAAGTAAGCCTACGTTTATAAGCAGTGGTTTCTATGAACTGGATTATGTCCCCTCAAATTTCTTGTATTGAAGCCCTAACCCCCAGTGTGACTGTATTTGGAGACAGGGTTTTTAGGAGGTAATGAAGGTTCAATGAGGTCATAAGGATGGGGTCCTAATCTGACAGAATTGGTGGCCTTATGAGAAGAGGCAGAGGTAGATGAATTTCTTGCCACCACAGAAAGGCCATGTAAGGACACAGTGAGAAGGTGGCCATTTACAGGCTAGGAAGAGAACATTCATTAGCGCCTGACCAAGGTGTCACCTTAATCTCAGACTTCTCATCTCCAGACTGTGAGAAAATAAAGTTCTGTTAGGTGGTATTTTGTTATGGAAGCCCAAGCTGACTAATACAGGTGGTAATACGGCCAAAGTAGGAACACAGTTCTGACTTCTGGTCAAACACACTTTTTGCTTTTCTATCTATCAACCAGTTTTCTTCTATTCTAATTCTTTTTCTATCTCTCTGTCTCTGTCTCTCCCTCCCTCCCTCCCCTCCCCTTCCCTGTCTCTCTCCGCCTTTTCCTTCACCCTTCTCTTTCTCTCCCTCCCTGCCTCCCTCTCTCTCTCCCCTCATCATCTATGTATTATCCAAAATGAGTATTCTATTCTTAGATTCCAGATAACCTAGTGATGATAAAATTTAGCAACATCGAATTTAAAAGGGGCTTCTCAGAGGATCAGGAACCATGAGAATAGGGGAGTTCTATGTGCTGTAATAGTATTCTATGTTTTTCTTTTGTAATAGTTATATTTACCCTTGAAGCTGTTTTGTTGTGGGTTTTTTTTTTCAGGCATTTTTTTCCCACCTATTTCATTCATCCCACACCCACCTCCCCTCTGGTAACCATCAATTTGTTCTCTATATTTAAGAGTCTGTTTGTTTCATTTGTATCTTTTTTTTTCTTTGTTCATTTGTTTTGTTTCTTAAATTCCACATATAAGTGAATAATACTATATATGGTATTTGTCTTTCTCTGACTGACTTATTTTGGTTAGCATTATACTCTCTAGATCCCTCCATGTTGTTGCAAATGGCAAGATTTCATTCTTTATATGGCTAAGTAATATTCCATTGTACATATAACAACATCTTTAGCCATTCATCTGTCGATGGACACTTGAGTTGCTTCCACAATTTGGCTATTGTAAATAACACTGCAATAAACATAGGGTTGCATATATCTTTTCAAATTACTGTTTTCGTATTTTTTGTCATCCCTGAAGTGTTGTGTTTTTCCCTAGAACATAAGTTCCATGAAGACAGAGGCTGCTTATCTCATTCACTACCATACGGTTAGCTTCTAGCAAAAAGAAGTCACTAGGTTTCCCTTTTGCAACAATTCTCTCACTTCTGTTCAACAAACATTCATGAAAGCCTTACTCTGAGTGAGGCACTGTGCCCATGGAAGATACTAATAGAACAATGGTTCTCAAAGTGCAAATACTGAGCCAGTATCATCAACATCAACTGGGACCTTGTTAGAAATGCAAATTCTTGGACCCTATCCCAGGCCTACAGAATCAGAAACTCTCAAGGTGAGCCCTTCCATCTGGGATTTCACAAGCTCTTCAGCTGACTGATGCAGACTTAGGTTTGCAGTAGTGGCTATGCCAATCATTTATTACAATTGCCCACATTCTTCTGTCTAGGTAGAAGGAGTCCATGACACCCAGCACTGAGATATTGTCAAAAGCTCTTTGTAGCTCAGGGATGCTCAAGCCTGACTGCTCATTAGAATCACCTGGGGCACATCCAAAATACCCAATGCTGGGCTCCTCCCCCAGAGTCTGCTTCAACTGGTTCGGTGTATGGCCCAGGCATTAATGTTTTAAAAGCTCTCCAGGTGAATCGAGTATGTAGCCAAGGTTGAGAACCATTGAGGGAGTTGGAAGTCTACAAAGGGAATGGGGAATGGAAAGTGAGAATGCTGAAGGAGGCTGAAGTCTTGGGCTGAGTCACATGAAGCTGCCATATTTGTAGGTCAAAGTCTGTCAAATGTTGGCAGTTGTATACGGTTTAACCTACTAGATGTTCTCAACTCCCAAACAAAAGCAGTCGTGGCATGTAGCCAACAAAAGGGCCCAGGAAATGGAGAAATCAGAAACTCAGTCTAACTAAAGCACAATCCATTATCTTCACCACTAGAAATAGAACTGCTATTGTGACTTTCGGTTACTTTTCCTCAAGGACTAGGGTCACAGACTTTTCCTGTAAAGGGCCTGATAATAAATATTTTAGATTTTGCAGGCCATGTGGCCTCTCTTGCAACTGTTCAACTCTGCCACGGTAGTGGGAAATCAGCCACAATGTGCAAACGAAAAGGCGTGGCTATGTTCTTGTATGTATTAAAACAGGCAGTGGGCCAGATTTGGCCAGGGGTCATAATTTGCCACCCCCTGCTCTATGATATGCATTTTTAGTAAGAGTGCTAGAGAGTAGACTTAAGATTTTTGCATGATGATACAGCTGGTTAGCTGACTCTAGTAAAGTTATACAAATTAGCTATAAAACACACATAGGGCTTCCCTGTATCAAAAGGCTTTTAGGTGACACAACAGAGCATTGCTGAGTTCCTTGGAATAGAAGGACTCCCATTTAAGCAGAAGTTGGGAGGTTTGGGAACAGAGATGGGAGAAGCCCCAAACTGTAGAAACTTTTTTCTCTTCTTGTACTACTGGTGATTAGCCAATGTTATTGTACAGTTTGCTAAGGCTATCATATCAAAGTACCATACTGGGTGTCTTAACCAACAGCAATTTATTTTCTCATAATTTTGGAGGCTAGAAGCCTGAGATCCAGCTGTTGGCAGCATTTGTTTCTTTTAAGACCTCTGTCCTTGATTTGTAGATGGCCATCTTCTTCCTATGTCTTCACATGGTCACCCTGTGCATCTGTGTCCTAATCTCCCTTTCTTAGAAGGATACAAGGACATCACAGTTATATATATGACCCCATTTTTACCTTATTACCCCCATTTTTACCTTATGCCCCCATTTATAGGTCCTTATTCCACATATAGTCACATTCTGAAGCGCTGAGGGTTAGGACTTCAACATATGCGTTAGGAGGAGACATAATCCAGACAGCAGTTATCAAGTACATTGCTTTCATGAACAATACACTTGTCAAATAAATCCTCTAAAACCACTGTAGTTTCCCATGTGCAGCAGCTTAATGACCTCACTTACTTGGAGATGGCTAGAGCAGGAAGGAATCTGTCCATAGCTGAGCTCATCCAAACTCATTTTATTTTTTTAAGCTTTTTAAAAATTTTATTTTAGAGACAGAGTGTGTGTAAGTTGGGGGAGGGGGTAATGGGAGAGAGAGAGCGAGAGAGGGAGAGAGCGAGAGTGAGAGAGAGAAAGAATCTTAAACAGGCTCCACACTGAGTGTGGAGCCCAATGTGGGGCTCGATCCCACAATCCTGAGATCATGACAGGAGCTGAAATCAAGAGTCGGATGTTTAACCAACAGAGCCACCTGGGCACCCCATCCAAACTCACTTTATAGCTAAGCAAACACAGACCTAGAGAGATGAAGTGTTTGATCACTGTCACAGGTAGGTCATGAATAATGATGCAGGGATGCTAACTCATATTATTTCATGGACTTTCCAAATATGTATTAAGCACCTTCCACACATTGTTGTATTGGGTTAGAGACTGAAAGTAAAAGAACATTCCCACCCCGGAATGGTTTAGACATGCATCAACCCATGAGCCACGGTTAAGCATGTGGCTCTGATCTGCCTGGGAAAAGTGGTCAAAATTTGTGAAGGCTGAACCCCTGTGGGTTTCAGAAAAAATTCATAAGTAAAAAGTTAGGGAGTCTTTTTTTTTTTTTAAAAGTAAGCTCTATGTCCAACATGGTGCTTGAATTCACGACCCACAGGATCAAAAGTCACATGCTCCACTGATTGAAGCAGCCAAGTGCCCCTAAAACATTAGGGAGTCTTTTCAGATATTTCTGATTTTAAGTTTCAAG